CAAGTTGGTGGTGACCAAAAGTTGCTACGTTCCATGACTGTTCATGAGTCCACGCGGAATGAGTTTGGTGGTCTCAGCCCAGTGGAGAAGTGTCCATATGAAAAAAAACCCCAATAAAATTGGCATTCATTGATCTTTTAGACGGCAGTCTCAGAGTGACCAAGGATCAAAAGATTCTTGATGCTGAGCAACACTGTCACCTCGCCAGGTGATCAATCTATCCAGGTTAGGGCTGAGGCATGGTAGAAAGCAGGGTTAGAAAGCTTGCCTTGGCACAGATCATGCTGTAATTATGTCAAAATCTAGAGGACCTCAGTCTCCAGAACCTTCATTTGGGCACCATTCTAAAGCACTTAATTAAATAAGATGTATTTTATTAAAATCACCCTCTTCCCTCCCCCATGTCATTACAACCCTGCTCAACCTAGGGACTCGAAAGCACACCATTTCTGAGCAGCTGAGGCTGACAACATCCCATCTGCAAAGCAGGCTGTCAATACCGTCCAGGCAGCTCTCAAACCTCCAGGCCAAATAAATGAACTGAGCCTATGCAGCCGCTCATTTCCCAGGAATTGTTGATGCAGTACCTGGTACACTGTTGTACTCGGTCGCCAAACAGCTGAGCATGGAGCAATCCCAGGGCTGTCTGCAACCCGCAAGGACGAACTCGGAAAGTTTTACATCATTGAGACCTAGCTGCTGTCAGATCCTTGCCGTCTAGTACTGCTGACCTGACCGTGTCCTCAATATGACAGTCCTCCCATGTATTCACATCAGAGAAACTTGCAAAGATTCACAAAGATGGTACAAATTCAGCAGATGCTGAAAGCAGCAGAAGCCCTGACAAGACAATTTTAGGTGCTAAATGCAATATCCAGATCTAGTTAGAGATGGCTATTTTTGCACCAAAACTAGTATATTAAAATGCTGTTAGATTCTGAAAACAGGCTGTTTAACAGCATTGTGAAGTTCCATATTTATTTCCTGTCAGTGATTGCAGGGCAAATTGGCTCAGGTTACAAATCAAAAGATGGATTTTTCTAGCTGCCAGCATTGCATACACCATGAAATATCTAAAAATCAAACTTCCTAACTTATCACTGTAATAAAGATTCTGCAATTAAAATTTAACTGACAATTCAAGTTGATGCATGACTAGAAATGGAATCTAGCTTGTTTTCCATAGCTAAATAAACTCTGCAAGACTAACAGGTTTTAAGAACATTTTGTCCAAAAAGTAAACAGATATGACAGACACAGCAGCAGACAGAATAATAATTCTGTTATTTAATGCTAGTTATTACCGTGACAGGTGCATCAGAAATGCCTCGCTAGATAGTAACTTTGCCCTTCTCCAGCTCTTTTACTCCAAGGATCTCAGCATGCTTTACAAATAGTGATTAGTTCGGGCTCATAACACCAAAGAGAGGAACACCGGGAAACAGAGAAAAAGAGGGGTTAAATAACTAGGTCACACAGGTCTAAGCTACAGTTGGGAACAGAATATATCCCTGTCCCTATCAATTTGTAGCCGTAGCTACATCCTCTTGCATAGCCATACTTACAGACATTTTTTCTAAACAAATATGTTTTGGGTCTGATCCTGAGAGGTGCTAGTAACCTGCTATTCCCACTCAAGTCAGGGTCTTTAAGAATGGAGGAAAGACTACGGAGAATAATGAAAATCCTGAAGTTGTAGAAAAAATTAGAGTGCCTGAAATTTAGCATGACATGGGATTTAGTCCTTCACCACAGAACATTCTCCACGCCCTCAGCTGTGTGATCCAGCAATTCTGACGGCATTCATTTGAAGTGAAACCACCAAGTGGATGTCAAATGGCAGTATGTTCTAAAATGAGTTCACCCCCTCCCCACCCCAGGTGAGCATGGAAGGTTGGGAGAGCAAAAAAGAGTCTTTACCAATAGCCCCTGGCTAGTGGTCTCTAAAAAGATCGTAAGTTATTGCAATGGGGGAGGGTATTATTTGTACAAACGAGCTGTACATGGAAAATTAGAAAGTCCTGGTACAAGCTGGTTATAAGAGAAGGATTTGGTGCATTATTTTCCCACGTAAAAGTGTAAGAATAATTTGTCGTAGCTGATCTCAGTCAGGTCTGTTCTCAATGGTAGCAGATGACAGAACGAGGAGTAATGGTCTCAAGTTGCAGTGGGGGAGGTTTAGGTTGGATATTAGGAAAAACTTTTTCACTAGGAGGGTGGTGAAACACTGGAATGCGTTACCTAGGGAGGTGATGGAATCTCCTTCCTTAGAGGTTTTTAAGGTCAGGCTTGATAAAGCCCTGGCTGGGATGATTTAGTTGGGGATTGGTCCTGCTTTGAGCAGGGGTTGGACTAGATGACCTCCTGAGGTCCCTTCCAACCTGGGTATTCTATGATCAGACCATTGGTTAAATAACATTGGGACCTTGTCTCCATGTCTATGCCATGCATGCTTCAGAGAAGATAACCCCACCACCAAACCTGGCCACTGGTGTAATTCTAGAGGTCAGGAAGAAGTCTCTCTCTCCCGGATCCCCATGTATGAAGGGGCATTATATGGAAGACAAAATGGGCAGAGAACCTTTCACAGTCCTAACCTGCCCCCTCCTAAGCAGAGCTGGTTTCCGGGAGAAGGAAAGAAAGTAACAGGTTTGGAGACAGCAGAGGAAGAGTTCTGCTCTGCTCATTATGGACTGTGTGGATGGTCAAGCAGGGGCAAACACATCACTGTTCTATGAAAGCAGAAACAGAATCACCAGAAGGTGAATGTTCAGTTTGTATTTCTATTTTGACTTGCACAAACATATTTGATGAAAAACAGGTCCCCCGCTTTTCTCAGGGTGACGCTGCTGATAACTGACGGTTCAGCAGTAAGTGAGCATCATGTACAGAACAGGGAAAAATCTATCACCCTTAAAGAACTGGAATATTTTTCAGTCACACAAACATATTCTAAAATAGCCCCCAAAAGGTGTCCTTCCTCCCACACAGAAGCAAGCAGCTGCAGCAAAAAATCTCAGCTGAATTTCGACACCTCAGGTCAGGAGAATACCAGGATTGCCTACGGTACATCTGTGGTTTGGAATAAAAAGGCATTGTATGAGACAAATCAGTATTCCCCTAATTTCTAAATGCATTTTAATATGACAGGGATACAATACTCTAGCAAGGGACTGTTTAGTCCTTCATTTCTTTACTAAGCAGCAGTTTAGAAAGGGGGGAAAAAAGCATATTAACAGCATGAAAGGCACCATGTAGCATCTCTTCAGTGATTGTCTGCAAACCCTTCTGCTCCAGAGAGTGTTTTCCTTGAGAGCCCTCACAGACACGTTACAAGCAAGCATAAGCACCACCAATTGTTTTAGCATGATAAACACATTTAAAACCTTTCAATATCTTTTGTCTGTTTACAGCTGCGTTCCTTCAGGAATTCCGACAAGTTCACCAGAATGGAAAATGCCAGACTAAGTGATGCAGCAAATGCAAATTCTAAACGAAAAACCAACCTGTGGCAGGATGTTCTTGGTATTGCTGGAGAAAAGGGAGGAAGGGGGAACGGCTGGGTGAAACCAGTGCTTCCGAAAAAGGGGATTGGGATAGCAATGACTGGACCAATGAGGCACAATGCAAGCTTCCCCAAGCTGCTCTGTCAGTTCATCTCTGGCTTCCACCCAAGAAACATAAAGAACTTCACTAATATTAATGAAGTAACCCTTCCCATACTCTCCTGACATAAGTATTATCTCTGTTGCACACAAAGAAGCGGGCACAGAAAAGCAAAGTGCCTTGCCTAAGATGACATAAGGACTTCGTGGAGCACTGCAAATAGATCTCCTGACTTCCAGTCCTGCAACTGAGCTACAAGACCATCCTTTCCGCTCCTACCATCTGCTTCTGCAGCACTGGGATCCCCACAGAGCTCTACCATTAGGTTTTAGTACTGAAATTATGCAAGCTGTCACTCCCCCACCCCTCAAAAATCTAATCTGCTAAAGAGAAAAATTATACAACACAGTGTAGAGTCTTTAATATTGATTCCCTTATTCAATATTTCACGAAGTCTACATCCCCACTCAACAGTGGAGCAGTAAGAGAGAAAACAGAATTTGGTCAGATCCTGACGTTGACCAGCTGAGACAAAGAGTAATGTTTTCAGGTTGAGATTAACTTCATGTTTTAGTGCAGAAATTGGTCAATTTTGTAATTGCTCTGCATCTCTCCAAGACACACTTTGTGCTAGATACAGTAAAAAAGTGATCGAGGCTGGGATTTTCTAAGGAGCTGAAGAGAGTTTGATGCCCAACTCAGTGGTGGATTAGCCACTGGAACAATGGGGCCCATGCCCTGGAAAAATGGGTACCCCAATGCCCTGCTTGGCACTCCTGGTGGGAAGTAGGGTCAGGGTGCGGGGGCTTGCCCCACTCCACCCAGCGCTCCTGCTGGGGAAGCCCCCACGCCCTGACCCTGCTCCTCACCAGGAGCACTGGGCATACGGCGTGGGGCAATCCCCCATACCCTGACCCCACTCCCCACTGGTAGGAGCACTGGGCGGGTGGGAAAAGCCCCCACACCATGACCCTGTTCCCTGGCAGGAACGCCGGGTGGGCAGAACGTGCCCCGACCTCACTCCCCCTGGCAGGAACATTAGGTGGGCGGGGGAAACTCCCGCGCCCCAACCCTGCTCCCCAGCAACAGCGCCAGAAGGGTGGGGGAGAGGGGGCAGCAGGGACCGCAGGCGGAAGGGGTGGGGAGGGCCTTCACTTGCTCTGGCCCAGGGCCCCACAAAACCGTAATTCGCCTCTGGCCCAGCTTCAACAGAATACCAATGAGAGTTGGGCACCTACCTCCCAGAGGCTCCTTTGAAAATCCCAGATACCCACTTTGTTAAAGGGGAAAGAGGCTGAGGTTACACAGGCTGCTTCTCTGCAGCAAGGGGAAAGGAGAAGAAATGGGAGTTTGCAGTGCTGTTACTACTTTGCATTTACACGGTGGCAACTTACCGAACATGTTACCAATGTGTCCATTCTTAGTTAGTGGTCGAAGTTCATTTTTTCCGAATGCATATCGTCTGTAGTTATCCCAAGCAAACTTCATCATCTACAAAGAAATAGGGGGGAGGAGGAGTAGTTAGACAGATCATTAAAGTGAACTAAATTTCAGATTTAATGCAGGGCTTGATCCCGATCAGTGCAGAGTCCTGCATCTTCTGGTGACCCACTAATTATGAATGTCTACACTGCACTGAATACATAAGAATCCTGCTTGAAATTCACATTCGGTACCATACTTTTATTATACTATGGTATTTCAGGCTTGACAGGATGGACCCATCAGTTCTGGGGCACAATTTGGGATTGTGATAACATAGTAGGTCCGCAAAAAGAAAAGGAGGACTTGTGGCACCTTAGAGACTAACAAATGTATTTGAGCATAAGCTTTCGTGAGCTACAGCCCACTTCATAGTAGGTTCCTGATTCTAACTTAATATCCAATACTTTGTTGTCAAACTAAATGGGAGTTTTGTATGAACATCAAATTATTTGAATTATCCCATTTCAGCAAAGAACTTCTAAAATTTCAAAGTGCTAATTACAAATGGGAAAAATATAAATGCTAAGCTTCATGGGTCTAAAATTAATTCCCCAAAAGAGATTACATTTTGAGTTTTAACATTTCCTTATGATATTGATAGTGAACCATTCATCAGGTACAAGAGTATTAAAACCCTACCTGATCATTTGCCAAACGCAGATATATAAATATGTATTACATTGAAAAGGAAGCAGGACTGGGGTGAATCATGCACATAAGAATACGGAAGTGAGCAAGAGAAGAAGCTGATCTTATCTTAAAATAAACATTACTCAGATTTAAACTTTCCCTAATGTTCAAGCTGAACCTTCATTTTTATTAATTGCAGATCTCCATGCTTTTGAGGAAGAGGATGGAATCCATGTCATTTTGAAAGCTTCCAATCAAGACTCAATAGCATCTTCTCAAGATGGTTTTGTGGGAGCCCTCCCCCATCAGGAAGATGGATGTCTGAGAGATCCTTTCCAAGTCAAACAATTCTCTGACACAGAGCTGTCTGTGTTGGGAAGAACCTCCTAGAGGTCATTGGATTTGCCTTCCTGGGAGGATTCTGGGTACTGGGTTTGGTACGATTCCAACATGTACATGCAAACATTGTTTCTTCCTTCCACTTGCCCTTTTTGCTCTAGTTGGCAGGGGAAATAAACTGACAAGTATCCTCTCTTCAGACAGGAAAGACCAGGACTTTTGTCAGGTTCCAAGCAGTCCTTTAAACAATGCCTCCTTTTATAAATCCAAACAGCTCCAGTCAGATTGGTCTAAAACCTATGCTTTTCTTTGACTCCAGTCCTGGCATGAAGTCATATGGTGGATCTGAAGGTGGCTTTGGAGGATCAACAGTAATCTCTATCTCTGCCCAACTAAGATATGATTGTTCTTGTTAGAGTGAGGGGTTTAAAGACTGTAGGTGAATTGTGGAGAAGGAGCGATTAAAACAGTCACGCCTATGTAACAGTGGCCAATGTCTATCTGTCCAGATTAGGGATTCTTGGACTATTTATTGCCCAAATATACAGGCTTCATTCATCTAATATTCTTCCAGCTGTTTTGATTCCCTTGCTGTCCATCCCTCTCCAGCTGTCCATTTCTCAAACCCAACATAGCGAGCATCTGCCTTAATTAGCACACATACAAAAAGCCACACCACCAATGTTTTTTTTTTTTCTTTTTTAAACATCCAGCTTCCAAAGTAAAGTTTCACAGGGCTGGTCCTACGAATGAGGATAAACATTTGCAGAACTGACTGATAACATTCAGACTCCAGCACTGCCAGAAGGAGGAATTTTGGATGAATAAGTGAAGCCATTTTGGCTTTATGCATTTTGTGTGGGATGAATTAGTCACTAGAGCTCATTGATTCTAGGAAGCTAAGACTTAATGACCAACAGAGCAACAACCTCCTGTAAAAGGCACTTGAGTATGCATCAATCATATGACTCAGGGTTTTCATTTTTTCTAGGTCGATGCTGTTTTCCAGTGACAGTATTATTTTTAATAGGACGTTTTCATTATTTTACAATTTTTGTAGCAACGCTTTTGAGAAAAGCTGGGGCATTTCCTGGATGAAACTAAGCAAAGCTCCTTTATCCTCTTCTAATAAGGGTATGATCCTGTACGCCATTGAAGAGAGGGATGGTTTTGCCAGAACTTCTACCAGGGGCCGGGCTCCCACAAAAAAAGTTTTCCTGTTGCTGGTGTAATAAATATAAAGGGAAGGCTAACCACCTTTTAAATCCCTCCTGGCCAGAGGAAAAACCCTTTCACCTGTAAAGGGTTAAGAAGCTAAAGATAACCTCGCTGGCACCTGACCAAAATGACCAATGAGGAGACAAGATACTTTCAAAGATGGGGGGGAACAAAGGGTTCTGTCTGTCTATGTGTTGCTTTTGCCGGGACCAGAGCAGGAATGCAGGTCAGAACTCCTGTAAAGGGCTAATAAGCAATCTAGTTAGATATGCGTTAGATTCTGTTTTGTTTAAATGGCTGATAAAATAAGTTGTGCTGAATGGAATGGATATTCCTGTTTTCGTGTCTTTTTGCAACTTAAGGTTTTGCCTAGAGGGATTCTCTATGTTTTGAATCTAATTACCGTCTAAGGTATTTACCATCCTGATTTTACAGAGGTAATTCTTTTACTTTTTCTTCAATTAAAATTCTTCTTTTAAGAACCTGATTGCTTTTTCATTGTTCTTTAGATCCAAGGGTTTGGGGTCTGTGTTCACCTATGCAAATCGGTGAGGATTTTTATCAAGCCTTCCCCATGAAAGGGGGTATAGGGTTTGGGAGGATTTGTGGGGGAAAGACATTTCCAAGCGGGCTCTTTCCCTGTTATATATTTGTTAGACGCTGGGTGGTGGCAGCAATAAAGTCCAGAGGCAAAAGGTAAAATAGTTTGTACCGTGGGGAAGTTTTAACCTAAGCTGGTAAAAATAAGCTTAGGGGGTTTTTCATGCAGGTCCCCCATCTGTACACTAGCGTTTAGAGTGGGGAAGGAACCTTGACAGCTGGTGATAAAACCCACACATCAGAGGGGCAGAAGCTTGCAGATAAGGGAACTGAGAGATTGAGGAACCCTTTTGTTTCCCCTTTTAAATCATAACCAAGGAGGAAGGGAACACCCTTTTGGCAAAGACATGCAAGTTCCACTTCGCTGGAAAGTTTATGCTTTGTTGCTGAAAAATAAGCCAACTACATATTGATTGTTATAACGAATATTCTGCAACGTGCATAACTAAGGTTGGGATGAAAATCAGAGAGGGGGCAGAGTGGGTATACCTGCTACTAGGTCTCTCTGATCCATTCCAAGAGGCAAAACATTTGTTTTTCAAAGTATGTTGGAGCCCCAGGATCTGTCCTCCCTGGTGCAGATTGATTAACAGTATCCAGAGAGGGTGAATTCTGCCAGCAGAGGAAAAGAAATTGCCCCAATTACCTCCCCTTCAATTTCCTGGCAGAATTTTAATAGGAGACACCCCCCGTCCCCCTTCCACCACCAGACGTTTCATACAAAGCCAGAGAACTTCAGGAATAATCTCCAAAGTTTGCTCACTTTCACATGCCACCCCAAAATGCTGTTTATGGAGACAGCTCCCCCACTCATTAAGCTGGATTGGGTCTTTTCTCCTTCAAAATGGTTGACCAGGCAAATGAAGTTAAATTTGTCATGCAGCTCTGAAGAGCCTCAGTATAAAATGATTTCCTGCTGGCTGCAATGCCTGAAACTTTCTTTTGCTGTTATGTTCTGGGCTGATAATCAGAGGCTGGACTAGATTCGGCATGCTGCCCAGAGATACTGAGAAAAATTTCACTTGCAGTTTTTAAACTCTGGTATATTTCTGTGATAAGATCCATGATGTGGCTCTATCTCAGACTCCAGGATCAAGATTTCCTCCCTCTGACCACTGGTCCAGAAGCAGTGACTGGAAAAGTTTAACAGCGAACAAAGTTCACAGTTCTACCAACTCAGCCCTTTTGCAGCAGCTGTTCCAGGCCAAGCTTAGCGCACATCTCAGGAACCCCTAGAGTTAAGAGATTAATTGCGCCTCAGAAAGTGGGGATTCCACATTTTCATATGGTATAGACTGAGGACTGGTACGTAGCTCTGAAGTTTTTAAGCAGTTAGAATCAGACCCATGTGGCAAATACCTATCGGGGTGGTCTAGAATCGATAATACTACCTCTCGAGGTCCCTTCCAATCCTATGATTCTACAGTTTTCAAGTCTGATTTCTGATGAAATGCCAAGGTTAAAAGTGAATGTTTTATACCATTCTAGACAGGGAAGATCATGATATATCGAGCTTTAAAACAATGTCAAAAAATATAAAGAGTTTTATGCAAACTGGTTCATAATTTTAGATTTTAATATTTACTGGTGTGTTGCATGGCACTTGACAATTATCGATCTGACCCTGAAGTACAAACCACCCGTCTTTCAACTGATTTACAGCACAGATTCCAAGTCACGATTAAACTTGCCAGATTGCCTTTCTTCTCTGTCTGACCTGTATAATCCACCCTCTTTCCCACAAAGAAATCCAGCTACACATTTAAATGGCATTGTCAATTTAAATGTGTCATAGACAAATACTTCCTTACCCATTTTACTAACACTTTGGATTTTTAAAATTTTCACTGTTGACATAGTTTACTTCCCACAGTTTATGCTCTGAATACTTTTTGCGCACCTCTCAGCGTAGATAATGGAAATCAATTATGGCCTCAATCCTGTAAACTGTTCCGTCTCAGCAGAGCCGTGTACCCCTGGGGAGCGCTGCTGACAGTGGGTGGAAAGGTCGATTTGGACAGAACAGCTTGTGGGATCAGAGTCTTGGTTTCACTTGCAGGTTTCAAACGCTGCAGGGGAAAGACTGTCAGGCCTGTTTTCATTGCATTTTTTCTTCAGTGTGAGGCGACATTTGTATTAGATGTAGGTTTTATAAAAGCTATTTTTAGAATGGTGGGCCACATTTTTCTTGACAACAGTCCTTTAAATACTGCAGCAAG